GCTTAAATGTGCTCTATGCAGAGAGTTTTCTTTTTTTAAACCCATATTGTGTCCTTGTTAGGGATAAAGTACAAGATGCTTTTATTTCATCCTCACCTATCCTCATGTTGGCTTTTCTTTTTTCTTTTATTTTCTCTTTATGGCTGCAGGACCCGGGCACCTGTTCTCCCATGTTTGTATTTGTCTCTCTCTTGGAGGGGTTGTTCCAAACTGTATTTTGTTGTGTTTAACAGTACARTGACAAATAAAGCAATCTRAATCTGAATAAACCAAGCTGGCTACTAGCAAGGCTAACAAAAGGCCAAATAGAACTGAACACCATCACCAMTGAATATCATTACAAGACAATAACCGAGACAGACATTACAAAAATGACAGACATTAGGGTTATAAGGCAACTCTACCAAAAACTATATTCACCTGAATGCGACTCATCTAATGCTAATATAATCAAATTATTAAGTGAAGTGACACTCCCATACCAACAAGAAATGTTAAGCACTCCAGTTTCACAGAAAGAAGTCCAGAAAGCCATAGCCTCCCTTTAGGGAGTCACTGGGTCACTTACCTTGGAATTACAGTAATGTGTCCCCTAACTTAACAGAGCTGTGGAAGCTTCTCTCCAACACTCAGGAAAAAAAAGGGATTTAGAGCGGTGGCATGACCTTCCTTAAAATGAACATTTCACCATGTTACCTCTTTGGCTATCCAAAAAAGTTACTGCTGACATAGAAAGAGCACTCTCTAGATCAGGGGTCTCCAACTAGTAGCTCGTGAGCTCATTTAAAGTAGCTCTTCAGTGCTTRTGAAAAGTTAGGGGTAGTAAAATTTAATTTGTCACTGGCCAAACAAACCTTCATTTATATCCAATCAGTCCATAGATGCCCCTCCTCTTTGGTTGTTAAACAATCTAGTGCTCAGTATGGTCGAACGACAGCCGAMAGGACGATGGATGTGCGGTCATGTGGTTGTTCGGAGTTCATTTTTGCACACACTTTTCAAAGCTCCTTGAAGCACACCTTGCCGAGCTCCTGGGAGACCCCTCGTGCTGCAGCATTGGTCACTGCATGGGGTTTCTTCCTACTGGAGTCTACGATGTGGGTAAAAAAAAGTCCAAGACCCGTCACCTGACATTGTTTGTGCCAAAAGTAGCTCTTGGACAACTTAATTTTGTGAAAGTAGCTCTAAAGGAAGAAAAGGTTGGAGACCCCTGCTSTAGATTCATTTGGCATGACAAGAGACCACAACAGAAAACCAAGACCCTACAGCTCCCTACTGACAGAGGTGGCTTGGCTTTGCCAAAMATCTTTTATTACGGGCTTGCCATGATCGTTATCTGAGGGAGTGGTTACACGCTCATCTCAACTTGAAATCTTGTTTCGACTCGTGGGCCTCTCAGCCGCCTTCTTTATGGAGCCTCGCCATGGAAGATGGGAAGAATCTATCAAGAGATATTAAAAATAATCCAATTATTTATAGCACAGGTTGTGGTAGAGAATCTGGAAACACACGGGAAGTGAGCTCTGCTCCTCACTCCTGACACCTCTTACAAGAAACCAGGATTATATTCCAGGCCTTGAGTCCAACATTTTTACCTGTGGCATAGCAGAGGGGTGAGAGTTATCAGAGACTTGGTTACAGAGAATGTACTCATGACTTTTCAACAACTACAGTCAAAATTTGGTATTCCTAAAAAATACTTTTGTGGTTTCCTCCAGATCTGGCTCTTGGTTCTTGGTTCTAAGAGCCTCTCTCCCACTGGCTTGGTTGTGTAAAATGAGATTKAGAAATTCCTTGTTGACAGGAACATCAGACATTTTATTTCTACTTTTTKTGCCTTGCTCTTAGCCCAGGTGATACCAGGAACATTGCACTGAAATGGGAGGGAGACCTTGATACTGAATACATTAAGGATGACTGGCAGGAAGCCATTAATGTAGTAAATTCAACCTTTATATGTAGGGCTATTTAACTGGCGGCCCGCGGGCCGCATGTGACCAAAAGTTCGGCCCGCCAATTGGTTCATTCATCTTTTAAACCCCAAATCTCCGGAGTTAGTGTTGTAGTACTTGAAACCAGTCTTGGTCTTAAGACCGGTCTCATGACCATTTTTTGATGGTCTTGTCTCGGTCTCAGACACTGAGACTCGGAATTTTATTTCACGACCAGTCAAGACCACAACTGCGGAAATATCACTAAATAGCCAGATTATTTTCCAATTTATGATTTAACATTCTTGCTTTCATTGGATTTAAAATGTAGCTACTGATTCAAATCCACACCTGACTTCTTTTCTATTTATGCATTTTTGTTAGCGGCTGTTACCCATCCCCAATCTCTTCACTCACACGCAGCACTCCAGGAAAGTAAGCAGTGGTTCTCTGGGAGCGATCAAAGGTGTCTTCAAAATTTTAAGTAAAAAAATTTGGCTACGTTATTCATAAATAATAATAATATTGTAAAACAACAACAACCAGGAGAAAGTATACAGCAACTTGTACATTCAGCAGTGCTTCACGTTCAGAGACAATGGGGACAACTTTAAAATGTTACCATCATTAACCTTAACAATCTGCCTCTGTAACAAATTTTTTCCTCTGCCCTCAAACAAAGATTTTGTCTATATTAGCTCTACGTATTAAGTTTGCTACAGTGTGGAAAAAAGTATTTAGTCAGCCACTAATTGTTCAAGTTCTCCCACTTAAAAAGATGAGAGAGGCCTGCTGACATCATAGCTAGACCTCAATGAGAGACTAAATACTTTTTATCCCCACTGTACATGTGGACACAATACTCCATCATTTAGGGCACTTTTTTTTTTATCTGGTCTTGGTCTCGACTTGGTCCAAACCCTAAAAGTCTTGGTCTCGTCTCGGTCTCGAGACACTGTGGTCTTCGTCTTGACTTGGTCTCGGGTTAGGTGGTCTTGACAACACTACCCGGAGTTCTACTTTAATTACYATAAGTTGTTTTATTTAGACATAGACATGTTTGGTATCTACAGAAATATAAAAATATTGGCTACTAGTTGGTAAAAACATTTTCATGCACACTCAAGACAGGTAAAATTGTCATAATCTGTGTCTTTCTGCATTAATTTTTTCTAGTGTTTCTGTGCTCCCCTGTGTATCTCTGCCCTGATGTCATTCCTCCTGCCCCATCCAAGCTCATCTGTTTCCTCTTGTACCTCCTCCAGGTGTTTCTTGTTGTCTCATTAAGTCTTGCCTTTATTTTCTGTGTTCTGTCCTCTGTGTCTTGTCGGATCATTGAGCTGCCACCCCAGCCAGTGTGGTTGTCCTTCGTGTTCCTCGTGCCTATTGTTCCCCTGAGAATTCTTCTAAATTTTTGCTGCCTCAGCAGCCCTCCTTTTGTTTATTAATTCTTTATTTTTTTAACTTTGGATTTTGCCTGTGCCCTGGGTCATTCTGCCTGTAACAAACCTCACAAAAATTACAAGCAGTTTAAGATAAAATTATGAATATAAAATAAAATTGGTTTCAAAATTTGACAAGTCATGGATGTTAAAATAATATTTGTGTTAAGTTCTTTTTCTTTTTGATATAGTTTAACTATCACTACTTTTATAGGGTTCTGTATGTTGTAT